GCTCCAGCGACTGCCGGAGCCGGCGGATCATGTAGGTGCCCTGCAGGTATGAGGGCTGGTCACGTAGCTGCGCGAGCAGCGTGTCCGCATCCCGCGCTTGCTGGCCACCGGGCGTCTTGGGCTCGATCAGCCGACGGTGCATCACACCCAGTTGTCCAGCCAGCCCAATCAGCCGCATCACCAGCGCGGTGCAACCAATAAAGAACATGACGGTGATCGACAGCTTGATCAGGTTGCCCAGATCGGCGGAGCCGAACCCGCCGAAGTACTGATTAAGCATCTGGTTCTTGACGCTTGCTAGCAGCGCGTAGAACGTCAGGCACGCGATGGCGCCCCAGATGATTGGGAGCTTCAACAGCCAGTCGGCGGCAGAGGAAATTCGCGACACGGCAGGCATCCTTTCAAGTCATGCTAGCAGTCAACCGGCGGGCGCACGCCACTAGGTGGGCGTGCAACCTCTGCCTTACCGTCCAGATCGGCACAACCGGCAAACTTTGTTGAGAGGAACTTTAGGGCCTGCCGACTGTCGCAATCCAGCGGCGCTGCAAGCACCGGCAGACGCCGGGGCCGATGCCGTGTCTGCTGCCGCTGGGCGGCCAAACTACGGCAGCGGGTGAGAATGCGGTCCAGGGCACGGGACCCCGGACGAGGGTTGAGTGCAGCGGGCCGAGGGAGAACCTGCTGCCCTGACCGCCGTATTTCAACTGGTGGCGACCGAGCGTTCGCGGAGCTTACCGGAACGCACGCCATTTCGAATTAGTGACGACGTGTCTCTCGGAAGCTCTGTCGAGTCGCAGTACTTTGCCGCGCACGGGGCCGAGCGCTGGCGGAAACGCATTGCTTGATCCCCGGAGCCGGTAGGCGCGTCGACCCGATCGTAAAACTCAAACTTATCAGCAAAGTCCGCGCGGTCATGGTCCGATACCTTACCTGTCACCAAGCCCGACTCCTCTTCTCTGCGGGCACGAAGAAACACCAGGCTGCCAGCCTTTCGGAACGAGGCGGCGCCTTACAGGCACACCAGGGGGGGGGCGGCCCGGTTGCGTGCTTTTTGCATCAACCGGGCCGCTTTTTTCATGCGCTGATCATGATGGGAGTCACCCGCCGGTGTAGGTGGCGAAGCACTTGGGTGTCTCCCACAAGCTGGCCTCGATGATCGGGAAGCCGGCGTCGCGGGTGTAGTTGAAGATCAGCTGCGCGATGGTTTCGGCCGTTGGGTTCTGGTCGATAAGGTGCAGCGGTTCACCCAACTCCAGCAGCGCCCCCACGGCCGGGTCATCGCGGTGCAGGATCATCCGGTGGTCGAGCGTGTCATCGATCCAGGTGCTGACGACCTTCTTGATGTCGCCAAAGTCGAGCACCATGCCGCGGTCGTCGAGCGACGGGGCCTCGATTGTGATGACCGCCTTGCCGTTGTGCCCGTGTAAGTGGCGGCACTTCCCCTCGTAGTTCAGCAGGCGGTGGCCGTAGCAGAATTCAATCTCGCGGGTGACTCGGAACATGGCGTGGGTCGAGCTGGCGGGGTGGGGGTGAGCCTTGCGGACAAGATTCGATCACAACATATTGACCCTCCCCCCGCAACCTCGGGCCCCGCTCGGGCCCGCCGCCTCTCGCTGATGGAGCCACCCGATGCCCAACCACGCAGCCCGCCGCGACAGACTCCGCCGCTTGATTCGCAAGGCCAAGGCCGACGCCTTGCTGGTCACGAGCTTCACCAACGTCACCTACCTCACGGGCTTTACAGGCGACGACAGCTACCTCCTCGTGACCCTCGATTCCGAGGTGCTGGTCACTGATTCTCGGTATACGACGCAGCTGGAAGAAGAGTGCCCGGACCTCAAGCTGGTGGTCCGCGAGCCGGGGCAGCAGATGCTTCCAACCGTTGTCGAGACGATCTCCAGGGCCAGGATCGAGCAGCTGGGGGTGGAGGCCGACGTCATGACTGTCGGCGTCCACGCGGAGCTTGGCGAGCAGGGCCAGCAGCTTACCCTGCTGCCCACCAGCGGCCTGGTGGAAGAGCTGCGGGCGATTAAGGACAAGGACGAGATCGCCGCGACACGCGTCGCGTGTGACCAGGCGCGGCGGGCGTTCGAGGTGGTGCGGGCTGGGCTAACCGACGGGATGACCGAACTGGAAGTCGCTTCGGAGCTGGAGTATCAGGCCCGGCGGTTTGGGGCCAAGGGCCTTAGTTTCCCGCCGATTGTCGCGGTCGGGCCACGCGGCGCGTTGCCGCACGCGAACCCAACGACTAAACAGATCGGCGAGAGCGACTTTACCCTCATCGACTGGGGCGCCAACGAGGGGCTCTACGTCAGTGACCTTACTCGCATGGTGGTCACGGGGAAGGCCTCGGCCCAGTTCAAGAAGGTCTACCGGATTGTGCTGAAGGCCCAACTGGCCGGCATCGCCGCCATTAGGCCGGGAGTGAAGTGCCAAGACATCGACAGAGCAGCACGGAAGGTTATCGAGAAAGCCGGCTATGGCAAAGAATTCGGCCACGGGCTGGGGCACGGGATAGGCCTTGAGGTGCACGAAGATCCGCGGCTCGGCAAGAACCAGGAGACCGAGCTGAAGCCGGGGATGATTGTTACGGTTGAGCCGGGGATCTACCTGCCCGGTTGGGGCGGAATCCGGATCGAGGACGACGTGCTGGTCACCCGCAATGGGCACGAAGTGCTGACCAACGTTCCGAAGCAGCTCGAAGAGTGTGGTCTCGGGTAGCGGGTGGAGGAACGCCTTGTTTGGGCCGCTGCGGGTTTTGCGGTCAGATTGCCCCAAGTTGTTCCTCCGGCAGGGGTTGTACACCGCTGCCGGGCTAGATTAGGCTTGCGGGATTGGCGAGGGGCCCCATAGGGCGGCCTGGGCGTGTCGGTGTCTCCTGTGGCAAACGGTGCGAATGATGGCATCCGAAGACAAACCTTCCAATTCAGATAGCGCGGAGAGCGATATGGCTAGTGGCGCCGGCAGCGGATCGGGCGACGTGTTTGACGTTCGCAAGGTTCGTAAGCTCGTGGAGCTGATGGACGAGCACGACCTTGCTGAAATAGTGCTGCAGCAGGGAGAGCAGAAAATGAAGCTGCGTCGGGGGCCAGAACAGGTTGCCATGACCGGCGTGCCTGCCCCCAGTTATGCGCCAGCTCCCGCCCCCCCGGCCCCTGCGTCTGCGGTTCCCGCCGCCGCGCCCGCGGCCGAGTCGGCCCCTAGCGGCCCGGTCATCAAGAGCCCAATGGTCGGCACCTACTACTCCTCGCCCAACCCCGAATCGGGCGCCTTTGTGAAGGTGGGCGATCAGGTCGGGCCCGAGACGATCATCTGCATCGTCGAGGCGATGAAGGTGTTCAACGAAATCCCAGCCGAGTGCTCCGGCAAGATAGCCGCCGTGCTGGTTGAAGACGGCGCCTCGGTCGAGTTCGGCCAGCCGTTGTTCCAGCTGGAAGGCTAGCCCGTCGTTCCGCGACCCCGCGCCTGGGACTGCCACTAGACATTCGCGCCGCCCATCGAACACCCTGACGCCACGCCATTTCTGCCTGATGTACCAACGCATTCTGATCGCTAATCGAGGTGAGATCGCCCTGCGGGTGATCCGTGCCTGCCGTGAGCTGGGCATCGGCACCGTGGCCGTGTACAGCGAGGCCGACCGCGGCGCGCACTACCTGGACCTGGCCGACGAGGCCTACTGCATAGGCCCCGCTAAGGCGGCCGACAGCTACCTCAAGATCGCCAGCATCATCAGCGCGGCCGAGGTAGGCAACGTCCAGGCGATCCACCCAGGCTACGGGTTCTTGGCTGAAAACTCGCACTTCAACGAGGTCTGCCGCAGCTGCAAGATCGACTTTATTGGCCCATCGCCCGAAGCGATGTCGCAGCTCGGGGACAAAAACTCCGCCCGCGAGATTGCCCGCGCCGCCGGCGTGCCGGTAGTGCCCGGCAGCGACGGCCTGATCAACAGTGAGGAGGAGGCCCTCAAGTTTGCCCACGAGGTCGGCTTCCCGGTGCTCATCAAGGCGGTGGCCGGCGGTGGCGGCAAGGGCATGCGGGTCGCATCGAACGACCTCGCGCTCAAGTCCGCGCTGCAGCAGGCCAAGGCCGAGGCCGAAGCCGCGTTCGGTAATGGCGCGGTCTACCTGGAGAAGTACGTCCAGCACCCGCGGCACGTGGAAGTGCAGGTGCTGGCGGACGCCCACGGCAACGCGGTCCACCTGTGGGAGCGTGATTGCTCCGTCCAGCGGCGGCACCAGAAGCTGATCGAGGAGAGCCCCAGCACGAGCGTCTCGGCAGAGACCCGCGCCGAAATGGGTGAGGCCGCCAAGCGGCTCATCCTGCAGGCCGGCTACCAGAACGCCGCAACGGTAGAATTCATCGTCGATGGCGACGGGAACTACTACTTCATCGAGGTCAACGCCCGCATCCAAGTAGAACACCCGGTGACCGAAATGGTGACCGGCATCGACCTCATCAAGTCGCAGATCCAGATCGCGTCGGGCGAGCCGCTGCCGTTCGCTCAGGAGGACATCACCAGCACCGGCCACGCGATCGAGTGCCGCATCAACGCCGAGGACCCTGCTCGAAACTTCCAGCCGTCGCCCGGCAAGATTGAGCGGCTGATCGTCCCCGGTGGTTTCGGCGTTCGTTTCGACTCCCACGCCCACAGCGGGTACGTGGTGCCGCCGTACTACGACTCGATGATCGGCAAGCTGATCGTGCACCAGCCGTCCCGCCAGGAGGCGATCGCCTGCATGCTGCGGGCGCTTGCCGAGCTGCGCGTCGATGGCATCAAGACGGTCGCCCCGCTGCATCAGGAGATCCTCAGCCACACGGCGTTTGTCGAGGGTCGGATCGACACGACCTTCGTCGAGCGGACGTTCATGGCCAGCTAGGCATCCCCGGCTTCTGGCCGCGACCATTAGCGCCCTCCCGGTTCCCAGCTAGAATACCGGCTCCCGTTCCTTCCCCCCGCCTGCCGTTTGCCTGCCAGAGGGCAGCCACCCCAACCACCTGCTATGTCCGAGAAAATCGAGAACACGCTGAGTCGTCCCGCTCCTCAGGAACACAGCTTCAAGAAGGCAGCGATCTTGTTTGCTGGTGGGCCCGCGCCCGCGGCCAACGCGGTGATCTCGGCCGCGGCGGTCTCGTTCTTGCGGAACGGCATTGAGGTGGTGGGCGTCAAGCACGGCTACTCGAGCCTGATCAATTACTCGAAGGACAAGCCGCTGGAGGAGGGGTCGGACTACGTGATGATCGATCACCCGATGCTGAGCCGGACCCGCAACCGGCAGGGCATTATGATCGGCACTGCGCGGGCAAACCCCGGCAAGCTGGTGTCGTGCCCCGAGCACCTCAAGGACCCTGAGCGGGTGGCGCCGCTCAAGAACGTTTACGAGGGCCTTTGCTCGCTCGGCGTGGACGCGCTGGTCTCGATCGGCGGCGACGACACCCTCAAGACCGCCAACAAGTTCAAGCTCTACCAGGACAGCCTACCCGAAGGCTCCAAGCGGATCCCGGTGGTTCACCTGCCGAAAACGATCGACAACGACTACCGCGGCATTGACTTCACGTTTGGCTACTTCACCGCGGTCGACTTCCTCGCCCACGAGGTCCGCAACCTGCTGGCGGACGCCGAGGCGAACCAGAATTACTTCCTGGTCGAGTCGATGGGCCGCAGCGCGGGCTGGCTGGCTTATGGCGTGGCGATCGCCGGCGAGGCGAGCCTGGTCGTCAGCGTCGAGGACATCCGTGGGAAGTTCCGCTCCAAGGAAGAGTACACCGATTCCAAGGGCGAGTCCCACTCCCGCGACGTCATGAACATGGACGAGGTGGTCCGCCGCATCGTGGCCACCATGACCACGCGGGAACGCGAGGGCAAGAAGTACGGCGTCATCGTCATCGCCGAGGGCCTGGCCGAGCTGCTCCCGTACAAGTACGTCGAGGGTGTTTCGCGGGACGACCACGGCCACATCAACATCTCGGCAATCAACCTGTACGAGCTGTTTGCGGAGCTGATTGCCGCGGAGTACGAGCGGCAGACCAGCCGCAGACGCTCGGTCAAGCCGGTGCAGCTGGGATACGAGGCCCGCTGTGTCGAGCCCCACGCGTTCGATGTCATGCTGGGCAGCCAGCTGGGAGTCGGCGCTTATCGTGCGCTCGTTGAGAACCGGCTGGACGGCGTGATGGTCTCCGTTGAGGGGCAGCTGCAATTGGTGTACGTCCCGTTTGAGACCCTGGTTGACCCCGAGACACTGGTGACCGTGGTCCGCTATATCGAGCCGGACAGCGACTTCCGCAAGCTGACCCGCTTCCTCGAGACCTACGTCAACGAGGAAGACATCACCCCGTAGCCTTACGGGCCGTAACAGCTGCACAGGCGAGCATCCTGGTCCCCTTGCCCCGATTGCGATTGCATGTCGTTCCCCGAGCCGTTTTACCGCTGGCGTCCCCACCCCTGGCACGGACTAGAGGCTGGTCCCAACCCACCGGAGCTGGTGCAGGCCTACATCGAGCTGACGCCGTTCGACCGGGTCAAGTACGAGCTCGACAAGCAGACCGGTTACCTGCGGGTCGACCGCCCCAACCGCACCTCGGCGTTCTCGCCGACGCTGTACGGGTTTATCCCACGCACCTTCTGCGGCAAGCGGGTGAAGAGCCTGATGCCGGGCGCCAAGGCCGGTGACGGCGACCCGCTCGACATCTGCGTGATCAGCGAGCGGCCGATCACCAACCCGGAGATCATCCTCAAGGCGCGGGTCGTTGGCGGCTTGCCGATGCTGGACAACGACGAAGCCGACGACAAGATCATCGGGGTGCTCGCCAACGACGCGATGTGGGGCGAGGTGCAGGAGGTCGAGGACCTGCCGAAGGTGCTGGTCGATCGGCTCCGGCACTACTTCAGCATCTACAAGTCGCTGACGCCGGAAGAGGCCGCCAAGGTGCGGATCGACCACGTCTACGGACGCGAGCACGCATTGGAGGTGATCAACGCAGCGATGGCCGACTACCTGGAAGAGTTTGGCGAGTAACGCCCGGCAGCGCGGGGCGGGAGCGGTTAGAAGCCGATCTGCACCTGCGCACGGACCAGCAGCCCGTCGTCACCGGGCAAGAAGTCGGCTGGGCCGCTGTGGACCGGCGAGCGGACTACGTCCGTCACGTCCAATGACAGCTTGTTGACGCGGTCGTTCTTGCCGTCGCCCCAGTACCAGTTGATTGCGACTGACCGCTCGTAACCGTCGCCGAAGAGTCCGGACACCTGCGAGAGCCGGGCGTTGATGTCCAGCCTCCGTGGGATCAGGAAGCACCCGACCTCGGCGTGGTAGCCGTAGTCGTACAGCTGCTGAACGCTGATGGGCCCGTCGGCGGTGAAGTCCTGCAGCGAGCGCAGGAAATACTCTCCGCTGATGCTCCACCCCCGCCACTTCAGGCCGGCGTCGAACGATGCCACCATTGTCGTGACGCCCAGCACCCGCACGCCCGGCGCCAGGGCGCCCGTTTCAGACAGCAGCGTGCCGTCGCTGAGTCGCAGGAAGCTTTCGTCGCCCAACGCGAAGCCGGCGTCGGATCGGTCGCTCGTCTTGCTGTACGCGAAGCTCCCTCCGTACCGCAGCACGGGCGAGCTGTGGCACGCGTAGTCGGCATCGCCAGGCCCGAACGGCCCCCACGGGTCGAAGTAGACCGTGCACGCGGCGGATAACGAGTCGTCCAGCGCAAAGGAGGGGTGCTGCGAGGTCCGGAGGCCATTGGTGAGCGACCACTCGTAATTGCACGTCTCGCCGATCTCGCCCCACAGCCAGAGGCCATCACTGAACGCCGGGCGGAAGTACTCGGTGGCCAACGAGCGGTCGACCATCCGCTGAAACCGCGAAGAGAGCAGCCACTGGCGGGCCGCGGCCACCTTCCACCGGCCAACCGCGATCTCGATTCCCTCGGTGCACTCGTAAGCGAAGAAGTACGCCAACTGGTCTAAATCCGAGGCGCCGTCACTGTCGCCATCGTAGATCAAGTAGTAACGCAGCTCGGGGCGAATAGCCGTGCCCGAGATGTTCAGCCGCAGCCGCTCGCTATCAAATTCACTTCGATTGCGGATGTCTCGTGTGATTCCGGCCGCGTCGGTCCAGGTTGGCAAGTCTCGCGCGAAGCCGACGTACCGCAGCTGCAGCCGTCCTCCGATATACATCGCGTAGGGCCGTTCTTCGAGGTCCGTCGAGCGGATGAACACGCCCTTGTCGAACTGGGCGCCAACCTCGTACAGCGGCTCGCCAGAGGGGGCCTGTTCGAGGCCGACCCAGGGGCGATCTGGCTCGGAGGGGGAGTCGCATGGGTTCGGCTCCTCTAACACGACAGGCGTCGTGCGCGGTGCTGCAACCGGCGGCAGGGGGCGTACGGCCGGGCTGGGTAGTGGGGCGCCGCACAGCGGGAGCGGCAGGCACCAAACAGCGAAGATCGCCAGCAGGCGGAGTCGGTAGGCAATGGCTTCCACAGATGGCAGTCTTGTCTCGGGGGCGCCTGCTCACGCGGGAGCCCACCATGGCGCCCGGCAGTAAACGGTATCGACGCGCGCGGTTAAGACGATAACTCTCGATGCGCTACGCACCTCATTGCCTCGCCGGTCGGTGCGGGAATTCGCCCGAGTCTACCGATTGGGTAACGTGGTCGGGCACGCGCGAAGAGGCTTAAAACCGGCTGCAGAGGTCGTCAATTGCCGGGCGTCAGCCGTCCAGCGAGCCCTTGGTGCTGGGGACCCCGGTCATCCGAGGGTCGGGGTCGGCCGCCATGCGGAGGGCGCGCCCGCAGGCTTTGTAGATCGCCTCAGCGATGTGGTGGCTGTTGCGACCGTGGTGCAGCACGATGTGCAGGTTGCACAGCGCGTTGCCGCTGAAGGCTCGCCAGAATTCCTCCACCAGTTCGCTGTCGAACTCGCCAATCTTGGCCGAGGGGAACTCAGCCTGGAAGTGCAGGTACTGGCGGCCGCTGAGGTCGATCGCCACGGTGGCGAGGGTCTCGTCCATCGGCAGAGTAAAGTGCCCATAGCGGCGGATGCCCGCCTTGTCGCCCACGGCTTGTCGGACCGCCTGCCCCAAGCAGATGCCGACGTCCTCGGCCGTGTGGTGCTGATCGATATGCAGGTCGCCGGTGGCTTTGACGGTAAGGTCGGAAGCCGAGTGCTTGGTGAAAAGCGTCAGCATGTGGTCCAGGAACCCTACGCCGGTCGCCACCTCGGCCTTTCCTGACCCGTCCAGGTCGAGCTCCAGGCTGATCTGGGTTTCGCTGGTCTGGCGATCGATTTTAGCGCTGCGGTGGGTCATGTTGGGGTCTGGCGTGGGGAGGCAATCTAGGCGGTTCGGGGGTCGCCCTGAATGGTAGCAAGCCGGCGGGCGGCAAACGAGCGGATTGGCCCTTTCCGAGAGACCCGAGCGGACCGGTTGAGGTTATCACCGTCAGGCGCGTTATAATCGGGGCCTGGTCCGCCCCGTTCGCTTCGGAGTCGTCTTCATGTGCCCAATGAAAAAAACGCCGTCGGAGTCATTCCAGCAGCTCACGGGCGCCGTGTCCCTGGGGACGGTGGCTCGCCGCACCGGGATTCCGCGTCGCCAAGTGCGGCGGATGGTGCAGCAGGGCCGGGTTCCGTTCGTGCAGGTGCGGGGGCAGATCTGTGTCCCTGCTAAAGCCGTGCGTTGTCTAACTGACGGACGCTTTTAGCAGCGTGCCGGCTTGTTTCCCGATTGGCCGCAGCTGCTGAGGTGGGCAGCGTCAGGCCCACTCAAGTCCCGTTTCGCCTTTCACCCGATCTTCGAATTCGCCGAGCAGACCGCCGATGACGTCCCATCCCTGGGGCCTCCGGACTTCAATGTCGCCCTGGGGGTTGATCCTCACGATCGTGCCGTCCAGCACGCCGGCGGACGCTAGGTCGTCATGGTGAAGCTCGTCCGCGGCAATGATGCGGTCCAGTGTGGAGCCGGTCATCTCGATGAAGGGCATCGTGTGGGTCTCTGGAAGGTGCAGGTTCCGCCTAGATAACTCCTCCAGCATAACGCCGTGGGGCGAGTGGCGACAAGCATTACTGCCTGGCCTCTGCCTACCGTGGGCCAACCCGGTGAAGGGGGGCGGCGTCAGGGTTCGCATGACGTGTTCCGAGCAGCGGACGCTACAGCGACCAGTCCGGCGCCTTGGCCCGCACCAACTCGGTAAATCGGAGTAGCGTTGCAATGTCGATCTGCTCGGTCCGCGCATCGGGACCGAACTCCATTTCAGCCATCAGCTCGTCAATCTCCTCCTTGCTAAGGCGCCGCTTCATCGCCGCGACGACGTTCGCTCGCAGGAACTTGCGGCGGTGGAGGAACAGGGACTTGATGAACTGGTGGAAATACCTCAGGTCTGGGATCTCAGCCCGCTTCTCGGGGTCGACGGTGATCTTCACGATCGCGGACGTCACCTTGGGGGGCGGCCAGAACACCTTGGGCGACATCTCGCGGACGATCTCGGTTTTGGCCTGGGACTGCATCCAGACGCTTAACGCGCCGTAGTCTTTGCTCCAAGGTTCCGCGACAATCCTGTCGCCCAGCTCCTTCTGGATCGTCGCGACCATCATGTGCGGCAGGTGCTCGCAGAGCAGCAGGTTCGACAGGATCGGCGTCGCGACGTTGTACGGCAGGTTGGCAACCAGCTTCAGGCGCCCGCCCGGGACCTCCGCCAGCGCCTCCCCGACCGCGTCCATCACGACCGGAGAGAACGTGTTCTTGTTCTTGAGGGCGTCGGTTTGCAGCATCGTGACGTTGGGTAAGTCGATCAGCTGCTCGCTGGCCAGCTCAAACAGGTTGCCGTCGATCTCGACCGTGACAACCCGCCCGGCCTTTGGCGCCATGAGCGTTGTCAGCGAGCCGGTGCCGGTGCCGATCTCCAGCACGACGTCCTGCGGGCCAAGCTCGGCCGAGTTGACAATCAGCTGCACCAGGTTGAGGTCGATCAGGAAGTTCTGACCGTGCCGCGACGCCGGCGAGACGCCGATCTCGCCGAGGCGTCTCATCAGGAAGGACTTGGTTTGGCGCTGGCTCGTCATGGACGCGGGGGAGGCTGGAGTACCGTGGGGGCTGGGGTGGGTCAGGCGTCGGGGCGCGCGGAGTCGTGAGGACGCCCCGCCAGCTGCCGCTCGACGTACTTGGCGAGCACGTCGGTCTCGATATTGACGGTGTCACCGGGCTTCCGCTTGCCGAGCGTGGTGGCCTGCAGCGTGTGCGGTATCAGGGCGACACTGAACCGCTCGTCTTCGACGTCTACCAAGGTAAGGCTCACGCCGTCCACGGCGACCGAGCCCTTGCTCGCCATCTGACGCGTGAGCGACCGGGGCACGCGGAACCAGAACTTTGACCAATCGTCGTCGTCGTCGCGCTGATCGACCGTCCCCAGGGCGTCGATGTGCCCGCTGACGTAATGCCCGCCGAGCGGGTCGCCGGCGCGGAGCGAGGGCTCTACGTTCACCCGGTCGCCCGGGGTGAGCCGGCCCAGGTTCGTGCGGGAGAGGGTTTCCTCGCCGGCCTGAAAGTCGATGCGGTCATCGAAGTTCGCCACCACGGTCAGGCAGCAGCCGTTCAAGGCGACGCTGGCGCCCAGGTCCGAGTCGTCCTCAAGGCCCTGACGGTCGATTGTGATGGTCACGCCGGGGCCGTCGGGGGTGATCGAGATCACTTCGGCCAGGCCGCGTACAAGTCCAGTAAACAAAGCGAGGGATCCGATAAGGCCTTGGTGGGCCGGGGTGACGCTTGCTCAGGCGTCGCGACGTGTGGGGGCGAGAGAGAGCCGCGCCGGGGCGACCGCGAGCCATAGGGGCGAAACTATAAATAGACCAGAGATCACCAGCGGGGCGTAGCCCCCGAAAACCACCGCCACCGCAGCGGCGCCGGCTGCCGCGGCAATGCTCGCCTTAGGTCCGGACGCCGCCAGTCGGGCCACGGGGTGGGGGTACGGGAGGGAACTGATCAGCAGCAGCCCCAAGCCTACTGCCGCGGCTGGCGTCACCCCCGCAATGGCC